AAACAGGTAGTTACGAGATAGATGATCAAGGTTCCTGATCTGAATTCCCTTGAAATATCATTATTACCGTGGGTCACCCTCTTTCTTACCTTCTGAACTATACAAGGCCTCTCTCTCCCACAAGCTTTTGTAACTGTACCTCTTATATGATGTCTATTAGCTCCGAGCTTTTTTTTTTTTTCTTTTTCTTTTTATGTGATGCTGATGGTGGAACCCAGGGCCTTCCAAAGGCTAGATAAGTGCTCTACTTGGGGCTACATCCCCAGACTTTTTTACTTTTTATTTTTAGATAGAGTCTCACTCAGTTGCCCAGGCTGGCTTCGAACTTGCCATCCTCCTATCTCAGCCTCCCAAGTCACTGAGATTACAGGTGTGCACCATCATGCTAACACTGTAGGTTTTCAATCTGTGCTAAGTCTAAGTGACTTTGCATGAGACTATAATAACTATATCAAAATAGCTTTTTTTTAAAAAAATCTGATTTTCTTCATAAAGCAATTCTAAGAAATATATATCACATTGATATGCATATACACACAATTCCACTTTAGAAAAAGGAAACATACCCCTAGACCAAAAAAAAGGTTTAAAAAATTTTTATTATATCTTCATTGTGAAAAAAATACATAAATGTACTTTTTGATATGTAAATAGTGTATGTGCAATATTATAGCCTTTCCTGCTTAATATACAATACAAATCTTCTCAAGTCATTAAACATTATTTTACAACATAAGTTTTTCAATTGCATAGTGTTCCCAAATATGAATACACCATATTCACCATAATTTAATCTTGGTTTTTTGTTGGGGGGGCAGTGTTGGGAATCAAACACAGGGCCTCACACATGCTAGGCAAGTGCTCTACTACCTCTGAGGTCCGTGCCATATCCCCTCCTTCATTGTTTTAAATTTTTTATTCCCTTAAATGATGCTGAAAAATATATGTATTAAATGCTTCTCCATATTTCTTATAAATGGCAGGGCTCTAAAAAGGACTAGTTAAACAAAGTTTTTAATCTTGTAAAAGTTTCCAAGTTTACAACTACAGATTGCTTATGCCAGGTAAACCTCCACCATGAGCTTCAACCCCAGCCCAATTTTGCCAATATCCATCATGATTTACAACCAATTCTATCCAGAGGAATAAAATTCAGTCAAAGAACCAACATACTTCTGGTGAGTATTGCCAAACTGTCCTCAGCGAAAGTAGTCCTGATGTACATTTTCTCCAGCAGTTTACACATCTCAGTCCCTTCATCTGCATTTCTTCACTTGCATAGCATTTTGAAATCAGCATTCATAACTTCCCTACCCTCTCTCCTTTCTCTCTTCTAGTTTCCTGTTGCCCCATATTATCTAAACTGCTCCACTGCCCTTCCCAGACCTGTTTTCACTTGTGTTTTTCCACTGCTCAGGCGTTATACTGGCTCTTTTATAACACTGAAATTAGCCTAGTTAGTATTTTATCCCGGTAGACTCTTAGTATCAACCAACTAATCTGATAAACTAATCCATGCTAGTGTAAAAGGGGTCATTCCCAGCTACACACATGCAATGTAACTTGAACAGATTAAAGAAAATGTATTATCTATCACAGAAATAAATTTATTTTATAAAGCAGTGTCTTTCAAGGTTTTCTGCAATTTAAATCACCTGGAGGAAGTTCTAAAAACACTTGTTAAAAATCCTTATCTTCCAGAGATTCCAAATAAATTTGGCATAGGCTATGACCTGGGCATCAGGATTTTTTAATGGTTTCTAGGGTATTCCAATGTAGCATCTGTATTTGAGATGAATTAAGAGATAAATCCTAAGTAGCTATTTATTTATTTATGATACTGGGGATTGAACCCAGGAGCTCTTGACCACTGAACTACATCTCTAGCTCTTTAAAGTTTTTATTGTCCCTAAGTAACTTCTTAGGAAATATTGGAGGACTTCAAGGAACAACAGTGCAATGAACATATCTCAATAATGTGGCTCACTGTACAAAATAAAAGTGATAAGAAGTGGTAGTAAAGGGTAAAGCACTTGAAAAAGAATAAAGCAATATCTTGACTCTTGATGCCAGCTAGGCAGGTGCTGCTGTGTCAGGAAGTAGGCCAAACTTAATCTTCTAAATGGCTTCCATTACTTTTACAATGGAGCCAACCAATGAAAACTAAAATTATTTGAATAACACAGTTTATGCCATGCAATTCAGTGGTAGCTCTCTAGGTTTCAAGGATATAAATGGCTTCCAATTTACATTTATTTTATTGCTTCAACAAAATTAGGTAACCTGATAGATTTTCCCCACAATTCATAGTGGATCCTTGGAGACAACTCTTGGAATTACACATACCAGGCATTTAAGTACAGTACTGGGGTGGGAAACAATGGCTGCCACTGGGGAGGCTGAGACAGGACAATCAAAAGTTCAAGTCTAGCCTCTTCAACTTAGCAAGATCTTGTCTCAAAATTTAAAAATAAATAAATAAAAAGGGCTGGGGATATAACTCAGGGGTAGAGCTGGGTTCCATCCCAGTACCACAAAATAAACAAATGCACACACTTATACATTCCTGGGCTATGCATGTAGCTCAATGGTACAGCACTTGCCTAGGATACACAGGCTCCGGGTTGATTCATATTTTAAGGGAAAACTCAGGAAAATGGCTTTATTGAGTAAGATATGCTTTCATTTGTTCTGAATAATCTTATGTATACTTCACAATGCAGAAGAGAAATGACAAGAGTCACTTTTCAGCCAATCTACTCCAATCCAGGGTCACAGTGTAAGGTGAAGATTCTTGTCACCTCATCTATTGATAGGCCCTGGCATTACAATCTTTCCATTTCCAAACACTAGCTGAGGGCACACTGGGGAGAACCCTATACAGCCTCACTCTTGATGGTTTGGTCACCTAGGTAGGGAAGATAGTTCTTTCTACCAACCCTGTTTTCCCCACATTACTTATAATAAGGGAGATTTTCTCAGTGACCTGAAAATTAAGAATATTGTCTGTAGACAACAGGTTTCTTTTTTCATATTTTCCTTATTTATATATTTATTTTTGGTACCAGGGATGAACCCAGGGGAGCTTAACCACGGAGCCACATCTCCAGTCTTTTCTTATATTTTGGGACAGGGTCTTGCTGAGTTGCTTAGGGCCTCACTAAGGTGCTGAGGCCAGCATTAAACTTGCAATCCTCCTGAGTCCGAAGGCATGGGCCACCATGTATTTTCAGCATGTGTTTTCCTTATTTCTATTGTAGATGTCCATTTAACCTACGCAGGTAAACACCATTGTTCTCCAGAATCTTTGAAGGGTGTTACTTTCAAATTACATAATCTCATAAGGGAAGAGAGGGATTGCTGGGCTTCCTACATGAAGACTGATTTTTTGGTTTTGATTGATATCAGTGCTAGAGAATGGAATGGTCATTGTTTTGTCATGTCAAATTTTAATAAGCAGTTGGAAAAGAAGGAAGTCTATAGCTTCATAGACTTTTCCTAATGGACAAAAGAAGACTTGGAGGTGAAGAATGTGGCTGGACTGGGGAAAAGCAAATCTGTACTAGAAATGTACTACAATGCCCTAGAAAGGGGACTTTTTAACAGCACAAAGCCACACAGCCTATGTAATTCTACACATAGTGGCTACAAAAAGGAAATGTAAACCCTCTAGGAAAATCACATTTTTAAAAAATCTCTTTGTCTAGTTGTCATTTCTGAAAAAAAAAAAAAAGGACTTTACAAAAATAACCTGAGATTAATGTTCAAGGTTGGAGGAGGGAGATCATTTGATTTTGAAGGAGGGTTAAGAGTTTAGATAAGACATATAGCCTGGTGACCCAAGCCTGTAATCCCAGAGACTAGGGAGGTTAAGACAGAAGGTTAAAAAGTTTGAGGCCAGTCTTGGCAACTTAGAGAC